ACTTTCAATGGAATGAGAGTCCTGCGTGCACTTCAGAGCTTAGGAAAAATTATTTCTAAATATACAGTAATGTTTCTACAGTGTAAGGAAGACACTTCAATTATACAGGCCTGCTCCAAATCGCTCTCACAGGACGCATCTACACATGAAATTAATGCCAAGCAGTAAATCCCAGAATATATCACAGTGGAGTTTGTTGCTCCCAGGCACCATGTTTACACCTGCACCTGGGACCTCAGCATGTTGAGCCAAGTCAGAGCAGCCCTGGCTGGCAGGGGCTGTCCAGGAGATCAGCCTGCCAGCCTGGGGCTGCTCCAACCCAACTCAACATACTGCAGAGGGGCTGGCTGGGGCACAAAGGTGCTCCAGTGTGGGGCTAGCCAGCAGGCAGCCCCTGCACTGAAGCACCCTCATACCCCAGCCAGTACCATCAGCATCTACACATCTGATGCTGTGCAGTAAAGAACTCTGCCATAGGATAGTACTTGTATTTCCAAATACTAACCTATGTTGGAGTTAATTAGTTTACTGTGGCTTAAGAGGACTTCCCATATGGAAGCTGAGACTTTACTATGGAGCTGATTAGGCTGATTAGGCAGCTCCACAGTATATGTCTCATGTAAATATGCCCACAGACTCCTAAACAAGACTTCAGAAGACGTTAGGCACCAAAGGGCTTGCTACACCATAGCGGTAACAGATCCCAGTGAAGATAGGACCAAACGTACCCCACATGCCCACACCCACAGTCACATTCTCAACTCAGAAGTAGCTCAGAGAGGTTTTCCCAGGCTTGGTGGTAAGCTTCTGCATATAGAATGAGCTTGCAGGTCTGTGGCATACTGATACCTCTTCTTGGGATGGCCCACCATGATTACAGCATAGACATTAGGCCTGTGTGAAGTGGCTAGTATTCGCTTCAGATTTGGATTCGGCTGATTCGGGGGACAGTGATTCGATTCAGTGATTGAAATCACTGTCCTGATTTGATCTGGCTGAATCTCCAAATCAACCAGGCCAGGCCTATCCCCCTCCCACTCTCCCAGCCCGGCAATGGCTGCCCCAGCTCCCGGCACTTGTAAAAAAAAAAAGACCCGGCTCACCGGGTGCAGCTGGGCAGGGGGTGATCCACTGCCCCACGCTGCATGGGGGGCTCTCCACAAGCCACCTGTCC